GCTCCAAAGTTCTTGAAGTGACACAGACGTAGTCTGTGCCCAAGAAGCACAGAGGAGGGATGGAAGATACATGCCCCATGAAGCTTGGGCCACGTTGGGCTGGAGGACTCCTTGGCTGTAGGAACTCAGAGCTGCCCTGTTCAGCCCAGGGGTCAGAGGCGATTTCCTATAAGAGGCAGCCTCTGAGCGGCCAGCTCATGGGGAAACTCTAGGTTGGCCCTTCTGGCTCCACGGGGCTGCTGTTTCCACATCCATTCATTGATGTGGGAGCCGGACCACTTCCTGGGGCCTCTTCTCTGCCGAGTAATCACAATGACGTGGAACCAGGCTTTGAGGAAGGACTGCCACTGTCTCTGCCCAGAGACTGGTTCCCTAGAGGACCCGTGAGCCACTCAGTCCTTCCTGAGAGTTTTCGTAAGGCCTTCTGACTCCAGGGGACCACGGACCTTTCTATCTTTGCCAAGTCTCCCTGTCTCATTCTTTCAGTAAGAGTTGGAGCACCGTGGGCTGGAAAGTCATCCTCTCCTTGCCAGTGAGATGCCAGGCCGGAAGGAGAGAGCAGATGGGAAGTTCCTCTTCCAGTGGTAGTCAGACTCTCTGACAGCCTAGAAGGATTTGACACCCCACCAGTCCAACAGGGCAGGCATACACACCTTCTTTCCTCCCTCCCTCCCTTTCTTCCTCTGGGCTCTACATCTTCAGAGCCTATTCTGATTATGCTGTGATGTCGGTCTCTTCCTCTTTGTTGGAAATGTTTCCATACATGTGGAAACCACTTACCTTTCACTGAATGAAGTAAGAGAGCTAAAAATTGATAATAAAAATGAAAGTATAAATTAGATAATATACTAACAGCAATAAAAAGGTACCCAACTATTAATTCAAAACTGACAGGGAAGGGGAAAAAAAGAAGGAAACAAAACAATAACCCCAATGACCCATTTTTAGAAAAACAGTATCAGAGAAAATAGACATTATTTACACTCGTGTATATTTCTGGGGAATAAAATTTATAGAGAAATCTTATCTCATCCTTTCTGAGTACACAGGGCTGTGAGTAGAATTAAGAGGAGTTTGAAAGAAATGTGAAACCACAGCAGGCTCTGAGCTTACCAGGAATGGTTGCCGGCTTCTCCAAACTATGTTTAGCTCAACTAGGTTGAAGGCTCACCATGAATATATGTAAGGCACAATGGAGACAGACTGAGAAGGAGGGTGAGCAAGCAGTTCACTGGCGGCACACTCAGATGTCTTACTACTCACTCTCCAAAATCATCACCGTCTTAGATGGAAAAGCAATAAAGCCACTCTGTTAAAGAGCAGCTTGGTGCTACAAGAAGTTTAAAATGTACTCCTGATCCATCTCCATCATTCTAAAGCCTCCCCAGTGCGGTATGGCGAAGGATCCCAACCCCAGGAAATGTTAAATCAAGTGTTAATGCAAATGTTAAATCAAAAACAGAAAATACAAAATATTAACACGTATTATGATATGACAGTAATGAAATCAGAACTGGTCACAGGAATAAACCAGCAGACCAGTGGGGCAGACATCAAGCCCAGGAATGGACTAAAATGCACAAAGTAATTTAATCTCAAACAAAGGTAACAGAGTGAGCCAGTGGGTGAAATTGGTCATGCACTAATTGATATTAAAGAAGTGGGTTAGTCACTGGGAAAGAAAGGAAAAGTTTTGGGACATCACTTCTTAAACTGCATACATTGGAGATGGATAAAAGATTTCTGTGCATACTAAATACATTGAAAAAAATTTTTAGACTATCTGCTGGAACCAACCATGCCACTAATCAAATAAAGATGCAGAACTATAAAACACTCAGTTTTGCAAAGCATTTTTATATTAAAAATTTAAATTTTAACAAATTCTGCATTGACTCACTGAAGGAGCATTACTATGGAACTTGGCTTCTGAACTCAGTCTTCCCATTCAAAGTAGGAGCCTCTCATATTGAGAAAATTAGTGGATGAGTCCTCTTGGCTCTGTGAACGCTACTCTTATACTTGCATGACTGGGCCATTGGTTGTTCTTTGCACTGGGGAAGGAAGTAGATCAGAGTTAAAGTTAATTCTGACATTCATTAACACCAAACAAAATTTATAGACTGTACCTGCTTGAAGGCTTTTGTAATTAAATTTGTTTATTGAACCCACAGATGCAGTTTATATTGGGAATTTTTAGCATATCAAATTGATCTTGGCTGAAGCCTAACAAAATAATACCTTTTGTCTACGTTAACTATGTTCCTCCGCAGGCTGATTTTAGTTGCTTTAAAAAATACATCTACACCCATCTAATCCTCACAGCACCCCTCCGAGGCAAGCACTACTGCCATCCTCACTGTTCACAGGAGAAACAGACCCGGAGAGGCCGAGCCACGGGCCCTATTCCCTAGCTAACATGCGGTGGAGGCAGGATTTGAACCTGAGTGTTGACCTCAGGGCCCAGTTTTCTGTTGCTGCATGAAGTGAGTACATGCACTGTCCGTGTTGGCGGAAGTGGGCCCCGAATAGGACCCTGTGTTTTCCAGTAGCCAAAATAGCAAGCGTAATCAGGCCTCACTTGAACAAACAAACAAAACATCCCTGGGCAGAGAAATAAATTTAATGTCAGGACGAACATTCCCTACCAGTGTGTGTTTGTAAATATGGACAGTACAGCCTCACTTGTTTCCTGGTGACCCACGCGTTTGTGCTCTAACTGGGGTGTCCGCCCTGCGGCCTGTGGGCCACATGCGCCCCAGGAGGGCTATGAGTGTGGTCCAGCACAAAATCATGAATTTTCTTAAAACCTTTTATTTGCTTATCATTTTCCATTAGTGTTTGTGTATTTAGTGTGTAGCTTGAGACAACTCTCCTTCCAGTGTGGCCCAGAGGTGCCAAAAAGTTGGACACCCCTGCACGGCTTATAGAATGAGAATGCCTAGAGGTAAGGTGTGGTTTCCAGGCCCTGAGGCTGGGATTGAGTTTTGCTTTGGTTTGCTTTGTTGTTTCCTGTAGACTTTATCCTTTAGAACAGTTTTAGATTTACAGAGAACGTGAGAAGACAGTACAGAATTCTAATATACTCCACACCCAGTGTACATGATTATTAACATCTTACATTATTAGTATGTACACTTGTAACAATGAACCAGTATTGGTGCATTAGTATTAACTGAAGTCCATCCTTCATTCAGATTTTCTCGGTCGTTACCTAATGTCCTTTTTCTGTCCCAGGAACTCAGGGGGCAGCACATTACGTTTGGTTTTCATGTCTGCTTGGCTTCCCTTGGCTGGGACTGAGTTTTAACTGCTTTGTGCAGAGCCTGTGAACGTTAGCGTTGCAGCTCGGTATATCCAAGCGTTTGTACAAGCAGCCTATCACTCTCATGGCTCGTAATGGCATCCCGAGGCCGTAAGCACCGGTGTTTTCTGTGCCACAGCAAGCGCTGCTGCTTTGTCACCTGCCAGATGACAAATTGGGTACACCTGAGCATTTCTCCAAGCAATTCATATCTCACGGAGTTTCTTAAGCAGCAGTCTTACATGCGGAACTTGGCCAATTAAAAGACGTGTTCGCGTTTAAGCCGTTCTGTTCTCCCTATATCTCCAACTTTGATAAGTATGGCTTCACTCAGAAAAATTTAAGGTCACTGTCATTGTTTTTCACCATCCGTTTCCCATCCGTCGGTTCTTTCCCCTTTGCCTCTTTGCCTGTAAATAGGTTTGAGATTCTCCCAGGCCTTAAAAAGCAAAGAAAAATGTTTCTTGTAATCTAGTTCCTGTCTGTTTCCCTTGTTCCATTTATTGCTGGAATTCTGGGAAGCCTGGCCTAGTTAATTATTTCCATTTCTTCCCCAGGCTTTGATTCCTGAGTCCAGGATAATCAGGCCTCCCCTCTCACTGCTTGAAATTTCTTTCTGAGGGTGGCAAGTCCTAAGCACAGCGGCTTTTTCTTGGTTCTCTTCCTTTTTAGACTCTTGGAGCATCTGACTGTTGATCACTCCCTCCTTTCAAGTGTTTATCCCTTGGTTTTTATGACATGAAATGATGGTGGTTTCTGTTCTCTTTCTGACCATGCCACTATCTTTTTTGCTTCTTTTCCTTCTCCCATCGTGCCTATATCCTTGGACAAGATGTCTTAGAGAAGTCCAAGAACCTCTTTATTACATTATTACATCTATGTCAATAAACCTGATCTTTGTCTTAAGCCCCAGCCTCCCATTTCCAAATGTCTTTAAACATTTCCAACTGAGTATCTCTTAATGCATTTAACCTGCTAAATGGCTGCTCTGTAGTCCTGCCCACCAGTCCTGTGTGAGCTTTCTCACTTCCTCTTAGTGCCACCAGGCTTCGCTCAGGAGCCCAGACTTGAAACCTTGAGCTCTTTCACCACAATCTCACTCCTCTCCCATAATCGATCTGCAAATTATTCCTTGACAATATCCTTCTATTTTCTTTCCCTGCTGTTATCATTCATTCATTCATTCATTCATTCATTCATTCAATCATTCAGCAAATCTTTATTGAGTGTTTACTATATGCCAAACGTTCTACCAGCACATTTCTGTTTTGTTTTCCTGTCTCTAGTTCATCCCCTGACAATGAATTCAACAGGGTTGCCAAATGTGTATTCAGAATATTCTATTCTAATTTTGTCACCTCCTTGCTTAGAAACATTTCATGGCTGTCCTTTGCCTATTGCAAAATACGGAGTACTCTGTAGGGCCCTGAGGCTTCCATGGAGTTCCCTAAAGGCACCAAAATATGTGAATGTAATGGAAGAAAGCTCTTCAGCCAGACAGCTCTGCTCCCATTTTATAATAATTTTTTTTATAAAGTTTTTAAAAAGTATCAAAAACGACTATTTAAGCCTGTTATTAAGGCCCTCTTCAATCAAACCCTAAATGGCTTTCCAGTCTAATGTGCTCCTAACTAACTACACACAACCCATTTTTAAACCAAATCAGACGACCAGTTGTCACCGTTGGAAATGAAGTATGCCGCCCCGCCAAGCCTTCCCGCGCACCGTCACCTTTCCCTGGAATGTCCTGCACTCACCTTCCCAGGTCGAATTCTGCATCGAACTTTTCACAGGTAGCTCAGTTTTGAAGAAGAACTTCCCTTTTTCGGAAAGTCTATGAACTTGGTTTCACGAATCTTTTTGGCACTTAACTAAAATACTCACTTGATTTTGTTATTTGTATTCATGCCTTATGCCCTTGCATGCCTTCAGGAGTTTTAGACTCCCTGAAGGCAAAGTTAACACTCTAAATAACTTTTTACCTTCCATAGTAGCTACTATAGTACCTTCCCTATAGAAAGCAATGGATGAACAGATCTGTTTTCCTATGGTCTTGCCCTCAAGGGGTCTGTATGTGTCCCTGCCAAAAAGGAAAAAAAAAAAAAAATCGTACAACACTTTTTGTGTATTTATGTAAAAGAGATCCAGAGAAAAGAAAAAGAGGAACGTGAAAAGGAGGGGCAAATAAGAAAATCAGAATCATACGTACAAAAAGCATATTTTCTTACTTAGTACTATCCAGTAAAGTAGGAAAGGTGGAGATAATCCTTCTTTCCTTCCCATTCAGTTAACTGTTTTTGCACCTTTGTTTCACATTCACATAGGAAACATTTAACTCAGTAAGGCTTTCAGTACCCCTGCAGGTAAGAAGGGCTGCTGTGTTCATTAAATAGCTGGGGAAACTCAGATCATCAGTGACTTAAACAGGGACACATAACAAAGAAATAGAGCATAAATTACCAGGTGCTTGTTACAGGATTCTGATTTCCAGCCTGTGACTCTTCACATTAGACACTCTCCTCAGAATTATGACCTTTTCTTGTGCATAGGAACATCATATCTGTTTCCCACCATCCTTAAGGTTCTAAGAGTCCATTTACTTCCCCTTTTTACATTCAATAACATCAACAGTCAGTGTTCTTTGAGCACTTACTGAGTATATGTCATTATGTACACACACAGCTCCCACTCTAACACAGAAAATCCACAGGGCCATATTCTCAACAGATTCCACCAAGAACCCAGCTGTGGCAGGTGGCATGAATAGTGAAACACCGCTGTGCCAATCTCGAGTATGCAAGAGATGCAAAAGACTGTTTCATTACTTTTTGCTCGCTTACCTATTTTGCTTAAGGAAGAGTGGGCTATTGCACTTTGCATCCATGTTGCACCCATGTAATGTGGGATTGAGAGCATCACTTGGCTTTTTCCAAGCAGAACGTATAGCTGATAACAAGTTGTTGCAGAGAAAATGAAGATTTTTCTGAAATCGGTTCTGCATGGGAACAGCTGACCCGTTCCCATTGTTGAAATGAGGCTCTTTTGCTCTTGGTTGATTCTGAGTAATAGCTTCGCTTCTGTAGAAAGGAGATTTTATTTGAAGTCCATTCAGAGATTTGGTTCAACACACTGGACTACAGGTCTCAGAAAATCTCTTTGGAAACTTCCAATAAAAGACCTTCCCATCTATCATTGCTGGAGCACTTCACCCTTCACCGGCATGGATACAGATAGTGCTGTTGTTCACTGCATTCTGTGTTTGCCCTTATGACCTGCTTTTTCAACTTGGAATACAAATAGAATAAAATCTCTTTTATTTTTCCAATCAATTGCTTGAATTCCCACTTTCCCCCTCAGCAGGAAGTCCAATATCATCTTGAAAACTTCCTTTTCTCAATCCAGGAACTTAATTTGGTCTGTAAGGCATCGGTCTTGTTTATAAATATCATGGAGAGAAAGAACTGGAGCCATTGTCACCTGCATAATGTCACTTTTGAAAACTGGTCCCTCGTAGATCTGCGCACACAATAGCGGTACTCTTGGCAGTCCAGATATCTGCTCAGGTTGCAGTTGGACCGTATGTTTAGCTTACAACATGCAGCAGGCAAGATATCAAAATATTTCAATATTTGTACAGTGTGGGCATTAAATCACCAGCCATACACAACTGATAGAGCCGTAGAGAATACCAGCTGATTGTTAGTCCTGGGTAACAGTCCTTTTTAGTTCCTATACCCATGGTCAGCCCTGTGCTCCCAAAGACCCTCGACTGTGCTGCAGTGTCTGAAAATAGAGGAGCTCCCAGACCAAACCATGTGCGTAATCGGAACCAGCCCATCTCCAGAGCTGTCAGGAGAGCTGGATTGCTGTTCCTGACACTCTCCTCCTTCAAGATATTTTATTTCAGAGATATTTTTTATTTCTGTCAACTTTACCGGGAGTCTTTACAATCTAGGGAGCAGAGTTGGAGTTTCTTGACTTCTAGAGGACCCCCTGTATCAATTTCCTAGGGTTACCAGAGTGAAATACCACAAATTTAGGCGGCTTAATACAACTGGCATGTATTGTCACACAGTTCTGGGGGCTAGAAGTTCAAACTCAAGGTGTTGGCAGAGCCATGCTGCCCCCGAAATCTGTAGAGGAGAATTCTTCCTTGACTCTCCCTAGCTTCTGGTGGTTTGCCAGCAATCCTTAGAATTCCTTGGCTTGCAGCGCTTCAATCTCTGCCTCCATCATCTCACGGTGTTCTCCCCTGGTATGTCTGTCTTTGTGTCTCCCCTCCACTTCATTTAAAGATACCAGTTATAGTGGATTAAGGGCCTGCCCTACCCCAGTATGACTTCATTGTAACTAATTACATCTGCAATGACCCTGTTTCCAAATAAGGTCACATTCTGAGGAACTGGGAGTGAGGATTTCAACATGTATTTTGGGAGGGCACGCTTCAACTCATAACAGTGCCTGCACTTTTTTTACAAATAAGTATACTTCCCCTTTCCCAAAATTCTGTAGAGCTAGAAGCAACTCATATCAAGAGACAAAATACCACGCTATATAACCTTAACCTAGGATAGTAGGTCCCGGCTGGCCTGCATTTTTGTAAGCTACAGAACTACCAGCAAACTCCTTATTGAGACAAAGAAGATTTTCTCCAAAGACATTTTCTGTTATCACCTGTAAAGGGAATTTCTCTTGGGGAAAAAACAAACAAATAAGCAAGTACACTTTACCCTACTACATATCCTATTAGACTTTGTCGATCAAAGAAATGATCTACATAAAGGCAAAGATATTATCAAATGGGAGCTTTTTTTATGCTCCTCTGCCCTGATAGAAGCGAAGAAAATTAAGCGAAGTGGCTGTCCAGGTCACTCAAATGATAAGTGACAGAAGTGAGATTAAGAATCTTCACATCTTCGGCTCCCGCCTCGGAGGAGGAGATGGACAAATGCGAGCAGGTGCTGGCTGCTGAGCCGGAGGCAAAGGAGCCCTTCGTTCACCTGCCCGAGGGTGCCTTTCTGTTGGATGAATTTAAGCACAAGTACTCCATTGAGGACACACTCTCCCTGGTGCTGCCATACTTTTGGGAGCACTCTGATAAGGACGGCTGGTCCCTGTGGTACTCCAGGTGCCACTTCCCTGAAGAGCTCACCCAGACCTTCGTAAGTTGCAACCTCATCACTGGAATGTTCCAGCAATGGGACAAGCCGAGGAAGAATGTCTTTGCTAGTGCCCTCCTCTTTGGAACCAACACTAGCATCTCTATGTCTGGAGTCTGGGTCTTCCGAGGCCAGGATCTTGCCTTTCCGCTGAGTCCAGATTGGCAGGTGGACTACGAGCCATATACATGGATCCTGGCAGCAAGGAGATCCATACTGCGAGGACTTTTGCTTGGGGAATGGGAGCGGGTGCTTCCAGCATGTGGGCAAAGCCTTCAAAACCAGGGCAAGATCTTAAAGTGAACATTTTTGGCCATTGCTAGCTGCCTGCACCTGTCCTTCAGGCAGAGGGAGGTCATTAAAGGAAACTGAACACTAGGGGAAACGGAAAAGGATATTCGCATCTTCATAACTCTGACCACAAGACCGATCTGAATTCCATCCATCTTTCAAGACCCCGCTGCAAGTCTCTCAACTTTGAAGACGATGTTTTATGCCTCTCACTGATGGGCCATTGATCTAGGAAAGTGAGGTTAGAATGAGATCCTAAAAGGCTTGAATGAGAGCTGGAGGAGTTTAGATCTTATTCAGCAGGCAGTGAAGTCTTTTTTAAAAACAAGAATGACATGACGAGGGTCGGACTTTCGGAAGGCTGATCTGTAAGGTATAATCAAGTGTAACAGAGGAGAATCAGGGACCCCTTGGAAAACCAGCAGGGAAGTTCAGGAAAGAGGAAACACAGAACGAGATAAGGACATAGGACTGCGCCTTTAGAAGGTAATGCCTCTTTAAGGAAAGGGTACAAACAAGGGCTGATGTGGGAGGGAAGGTGGCTTCAACATTGGAGCTACAGAGCGTGATGTCCTGGTTAGGTGTCCCAAAGGAGATGGCTCACTGAAAGTCTGCCTTTTTAATTATATGGAAATCAATCCTCAGAAGGGCTCCCCAGAATGGTCAACTTCTTGGTAAAGGTCTACACTTGATTGTAATGAGAATATTTAAAGTCAGAGTTAAAATCCACCTTAACACCTCATCATGAATTATGATATTGTTACCGAACAAATGGACCCATAGTGGGTGGTGGGTGGGGTGTGCCCAGATGCTATTACCGAAACGACACCCCCTTCCCCGGGGTCCCTTAGTTGTGGGTCCTTTGACTGCCGCCCTTGGAATTATGGCTCTGAATGGCAAAGTTTGGTGAAAAGAAAAGGAACTATTTATTCAAAAGTTATTCAGGTTTGACTAATGGCTAAATGTCACCCTTAAACCTCAAAATCCCTTTAAAACAATCATCAGCACACACACCATCCTGCCTTCCCTGCCTTTGCCCAGTTAGGCCAGTCAGGGGTACCGTCCTTCAGATGAAAAAGAACAGAAGTCCGGGGCTTGGCTAAGCAGGCCTCTCACGGTTCTCAGCACCATCCACCGCATCGCCGTGATCTCCAGCTCTTAATCCATAACCATGTGGCACCTTCTCCTGGCCCACTAGCAAGAGTCCTTTCTCCCCTCTTCCCGCGTGGTCTTCACAGTTTCCCAGAGACTGTCCCTTGTTCACTCCTGCAGGCCCCTGTCTCTCCTCCTCCTCCCCAGTTACAGTCTGCATTAAGTCTTTTAAACCTTCCTGATTAGCTTTGGTGATATGCCAAATAACCCTCTTTGCATATGAGGAATGAAGCTATCCTGTTATTGACAGGCAAAGTAAGTCTCAGTGGCCTAGTTCAAGGCTCCCATCCCCCATGGTGGTCTGCCCTGGCATGGGAAGAATATATTTTTCTTGGACACCCCAATCTCTGGACCCCTTTACAAATATCCTTTGGGGGGCCCTGGCTGTGCACCGTTACAATATCTTTAATGTTTTTTTTAATTTTTAAAAATTGATATTAGAGAGAGAAAAAGATTCATTTATTGTTCCACTTATTCATGCACTCATTAGTTGACTTCTGTATGCTCCCTGACCAGAGATCAAACCTGCAACCTTGGCATATCAGGATGACGCTCCGACCAACTGAGAGCCACCAGGCCAGAGATAGTGTATTTTATTTTTAAAATTGTATTCTACAATTTTAGTTTATAGTTTGACTGCAGTGAGATTGTGCTCGTATAAAAGAACTTTTAATGTTTACAAGGGATGATGGGTAATTAATGTTTATTAGATTTTTACTATATGTCACCATCAATAAAACATAAAATGGAAAAAAAAGAAAAGAAAGTGTATGCCTTTTAAATAAGGGGATAGAAATTTTAAGTTTGGTCTTTCTTGAGGATGCGAACCCTGCAGCGCATGTCCTGGTGGCACATGCACCCTTGTCAGTGTGCCGGGGTCTCTTCATTCATGGAGTAGCAGTTCACCAAGTGCCAAGTGCCATGCCCTGTTTTAGGAGCTACAGATGTGCAAACAAGTGCTACCATCCTAGTCCTCAGAGTTAAATAGACAATCTCATGGCATAAGGGCTATGGCAGAGATCATCAGAGGGAGCTATGGAGATGGCTAGAAGACGGTAGGACAAGGGTGTCAAGAGACACTTCCAGGGAGGTGGTACTGCTCTGAGTTATAAAGGAGGACTCACAGATGTGTTGGAGGGCAAGGTTCTCGCACTGAGGTTCTAGTGAGAGCAAAAGCAGAGGGGAAGAGGATATGAATCCCTGGGAAGCTGCCAACGGGCCCGTAAGGTACAGCCCAGGGGATGGTGTGGGGGTGGAAAGGCCCAAGATGAAGACTGTGGACCAAGACAAGAACAAAATATCCCTCCAGTCAGAGTGAAGAGGCGGGAGACTAGGAGGGAAGAGAGGGGATTCAAAATAGGGTTTCAGTCTTCAAGAACATGTTTTCATGCTATAGGAACCATCAAAGGCCATTCACCTCCAGGTACGTCAATTTAGACATAAGGAAATACAGCCCAGAAAGCTGAGATGGTTCTCTCAAGGCCACACAGACAAGCTAGGACCAAGGCTCTGAGATCACTGTCCCAGCTCCCATATCCTCAGAGAAGAAAACTAAGACTCGGAAACCAAGTTGCCGAGTCTGTTAGCAGCAATGTCAGGGCTTTGGACTCTCAGGCCAGTGCTCCTTCCTCCACCCCATGGACCATGGCTACAGACTCACTGTGTCCCTCCCAATTCATATGTTGAAACCTAATCTCCAATGTGATGATATTTGGAGGTGGGACATTTGGGAGGTGATTAGATCATGGATGGATTGGTACCCTTAAAAAGGGGGCTCCAGCCCTGGCTGGTGTGGCTCAGTGCATTGAGTACCAGCCTGCAAACTGAAATGTCTCTGGTATGATTCCCAGTCAGGGAACATGCCTTGGTGGTGGGCCAGGCCCCCAGTTGGGGGCATGCGAGAGGGAACGGATGGATGTATTTCTCAAACATGGATGTTTCTCTCCTCCTCTTTCTCTCCCCCTTCCCCTCTCTCTGAAAATAAATAAAATCTTTTCAAAAAATTTAAAAAAGGGTCTCCAGAGAGCTCCCTCACCCCTTCTGCCATGTTAAGACTCAATGAGTGAGAAAACAGTTGTCTATGAGCCAGGAAGTAGGCTCTCATGAGATACCCTGGTCTTAGGCATCTTTGCTTCTAGAATTGTGAGAAATGCATTTCTGTTGTTTATCAGGCATCTATCTAGTCCATGGTACTCGTGTTCTAGCAGCCCAGGTGGACTCATGCAATCTCAGAGGGGAAGCAGCTCTGAGAAACCACAAGAACAATGCCGCTGTCATGCCTGAGACAGGACGGCGAGGAGGCCAGGGCAAAGGTGCTGAGAAATGAAGACTCTGACAAACTCCAAGCCCAGAGCGAGGGAAACATGATGAACAGGGATGCTGGAAACCCTCCAGCATAACAGAGAGGAAAACCAGGAACCAGGATCTGGAATCCGCCGGGAAGATGAGAAAGGGGGCCAGAGGTAGAGGAGAGTGGAGAGTGGAGGAGCAGTGGTCAGTGTGGAATGGGTAGAAGGAGAGTCTGGGAACAACTTCCAGCCCCAAAGATATGGGAGGGTGTTAAGTTTCTGTAAAACTCATTTTCTGAGGACTTGAACCAAGGTAACCTGGGTTCACATCCCATTTCTGCCATTAGCAACTTAGTAAATTAGGAGAAATTACTTAACCTTACTAAACTGACCTTTGCTCATTATAGAGATTCTACAATGAAAGTAATAATCAAGATACGAGTGTTTGCAGAGCGTCCAGAGTGTTCCTCTTCAAACATAAATCACATCCTGTCATTGCTCTGATCAAACCCGATCAGTAGCTTCTCCATTCAGAGTAAAAACTGGTCTTTACAATGGCCTGAGACCCAGTCTACCTGGTCTTTGACTCCGCCTGCTGTTCCCGGCTCCCCCCTCCCTCACCTGCTCGAGTCACACTCAGGTCTCGTGATGTTCCTTGGGTACCTCGGGCACACTCTTTGCCTGGGGACCCCCCCTCCAACCCTGACTCAGACAACTTCATTCATGCCCTCCTCCCCATATTCATCGGTCAAATGTCTCAGTGGAGCCTTCACTCTCTCCATTATTTAAAACAGTGCTTTCTATCTCTCTTCTCCACTGTTCCAATTATCACTGCTGTGTAACAAATCTATCGCCAAACTTAGTGGGTGAACATATCATCGAACATTTTATTTCTCCTAGTCTCTGAGGGCCATGAATCTTGGAGGGGCTCAGCCGGGGTGCCCTGGCTTCTGGATCTCTCATGTGGTTGTACTCAGGTGGCTAGAACTGAAACAATGCAGGGACTGGCTGCCTCTCTCTCTCTCTCTCCCTCTTTCTTTACAGGAGTCTGGGGCCCCTCCATGTGGCCTCTTCTTGTGGTCTGAATGATCTTGCCGCAGTGTGGTGGCCTCAGGGCAGTGGGCTGCTTATAAGGTGGCTGAGGTTTCATAGGTGAACGAATATTCCAGCAAATAAGGTGGGACCTGCATTATTTCCAATGACCTAGCTTTGGAATTCATATAGCCTCGCTGTCTGTATACTCTGTTGGTTGAAAACTCCCCAAACACCACCCAGTTTCAAGGCGGAGGAAACAAAGAAACCCATCTCTTCATTGGAGGAGAGTCAAAGTGACATTGTAAGAAGAGCCTATGGGATGGGAGACGCTGTTGCCACCGCCTGTAGGAACAACTCAGTCTGCGACACCTTCACTTTCTCCTTCCCCCCTCACTTGTAATTGACCTATTCGTTTTTCTCTGTTGCCTGTCTTCCTGCACTAAAATATCGGCCTGTTTTGTTCACTGTTGTATTATTCAATAAGTGCTTGTTGAATGAATGAATTGTGTCTATTAATCCTAACTGTGGATCTCTAAG